GTGCTTTTGGTCTCAGGGTCATGGAGGCTATGGTTCACATAGTCCATTACTCCTTTGGACTGTTTCCTTGAGTCTTTGATTTTCTTCACTCTTCTTTACTCCAGACAGCAAGATACCAATAGTTGCATATTAGATGGCTGCTCACTACCTTTTAAGACCCCAGTCGCTACTCACCAAGAGTAGGATACAGAACATTGTCTTTGTGATATGTTATGCCAGTTGACCCAGCTGTTCCCTAAGACTGTGGTCCTAAGCCCCAATCCCAGTGACTCATTTCCTCAGGGTGTTTGGTTATTCCAGATTATTTTCCATTCCCTAATGCTCACCTTATCAGTATGATCTACTCCTTATTGTATCCACGGTTGTTATTTTATTTCAGTGGGTATATTTTTCATTTCAAAGTTCTGGTTTGTTTTGATTTTTTTTTTTTCCTTTGAACCCCATCAGGTCCTTTTCTCCTCTAGCTTAGTCTTCTAGTCTTTACTTTCTTCTATCATTTTGATCATCTTAAACATAATAATTTGATAATCTCAAATAATTCCATTAGTTTGATTTCTTGCAATTCTATTTTTTCTGAATGGTGTAACTGTTGAATGTCTCTCATGGACCTTTTCCATGTGTGGTTTACCATTTTTTTACACCAACTCCATATTAAAATGGAATGTTTAATGCTCTGGCTTGTAAAAGTGTACTACAAAGTGGTTACCTGAGTTGCTGCTTTTTACTAAGAGCTCCAGGTAATTCAGTGATCTTGTACCAGTTTTTCATGTCATCTTAACTTAGCACCTTGTAGTTACTATCCTATGCAGATAGTATCAACATGAATCTCCCACTCGCACATGATCAGTGCTGGACATTTGATTCCTAATAGGGAACTGTTTCTGCCCCATCTCAAATCCCAGATAAATAAAAATCTTTCACATCCTTTCTCTGGGCTGGCAGGCAAAAGCTTTCAGTCCATAAAAATACTTCCAGACTCTGTTATTTAAGTAGGGGCTTCAGTCATAGGGCTCCCTACTTCACATGTGCCCATAGCCACATCTCTTGTATTTAAATAGATGTTAAAATCCAGCAATCAAACATTAGGCCCCATTCCTATTTGAAAGCCTCCTTGTTAGCCAAACATTAGGTTCTTTTTATTCTGGCTTTGCTTTCTTTATTTCATTTCTTTTTGTTTATTTTAATTTTAGCTTTGTTGTTTTTGTTGTTGTGTGCCATTGAGTCGGCCCCGACTCATAGCGACCCCTCCTTGGGTTGCCAAGGCAGTATCATTAGGGAAGCAGATTGCCCAACCTTCCTTCCAAGGAGTGGCTGGTGGGTTTGAACCGCCAGCCTTCTGGTTAGCAGTCAAGTGCCTTAGGCACTGTGCTACCAGAGCTCCTAATTTTAGCTTTATTGAGATATAATTCACTTACCATGTAATTCATCTATCTAAAGTATACAATTCAATAGTTTTTAGTATATTCCCAGAGTTGTACAGCCATCACAACAATTAATTTTGGGACATTTCATTACCTCAAAAAGAAATCCTGTACTCCTTAGCAATCATTCCTCATGTCTTTATTACTCTCCCCACCACCTGCCTCAGGCAAGCAAAAATCTATTTTTCTGTGTCCATAAATTTGCCTGTTTTGAGCATCCCATATATATGGTATCATATACTATGTGGTTTTTTGTGTCTGGTTTCCGTGATTAAGCATGATGTTGTCAAGATTCATCCACATTGTGACATGTTCAGGATTTCACATCTTTTTATTGTCAAGTAACATTCCATTGTATGAGTATATAACATTTTACTGATCAGTTTATCAGTTTATGAACAGTTGGGCTATTTCTACTTTGTAGCTACTAAGAATAATGGAGCGATGAACATGTATGCACAAGTCTTTGTTTTCTTTTCTCTTGGGTATTTATCTAGGATACTGCTAGGTCTGACTAGGTAACTCTACATATTACTTCATTTATCACACAAATGGCATTCTTTTCCTTCCACGTTTAGAAAAGAATAGCCCATTTATTATATTATATTCAGAATTTCTAGGTGTTGAGGTAGAGCACACTCTTCAGCCTATTTTGTTCATGTATTTCACTGTCTTTTTTTGTAGTCTTTAGTTTTATATATTTTTTAAATATTGAATTTTACAAAACATCAATTAACTTTTTTACTGTAAACAGTGTGGAAATATGGAATTATTCTAAAATTAGGTCCCTTCAATACTGTCTTAAATGTCTATGTTGTTGTTGTTGTTATGTGCCATGGAGTCAGACCCGACTCATGGTGACCCCTCCTTGGGTTGCTGAGGCAGTATCACTACGGAAGTAGATTGCCTAACCTTCCTTCCAAGCAGTGGCTGGTGGATTTGAACCACCAGCCTTCTGGTTAGCAATCGAGTGCTACCAGATAAAGGAGATAATAAAAAAAGACTCATTCTTTAATTCTTTTTGACCTTTATTTTAAATGTTCTTTATCATATTTTCTACATAGACTGTGTGATTGAACTAGTTAATAAATACCATCTGTGTTTTATCAACTTTTAATATTCTAGGATTTTAAATGTTTCTTTATATTTGTTCTTCAAACTTTGATCACTCTTATTTTTTTGATAGTTTCTCCATACTTTGTTTTTATTTGCTTTTTTAAGAGAAAAGTTGATTCAGCCACACAGAATCTGTAGAATGATTCTGATGTGATTATTTCATTCTAATATATCCAAAGTACTATTTTCCCTTACAGCTGCAAGGCTGTTTACATTGCATAGCACTACATAGTTCTATGAACTTACATCTATAACCAAATTCTGACTAAAATGCATGGGTAATGAATCTATAGGAGCTCTGGTGGTGTAGTGGTTAAGGCATTTGGCTGCGATTTGAACCCACTAGCTGTTCTGTGGAAGAAAGATAAGGTGTCTGTTTTCATAAAGATTTACAACTCTGGAAACCCTGTGCGGCAGTTCTACTCCCCCAAAAGGATTGCTGTGAGTTGGAATCAACTTGATGGCAGTGAGTCAGTTCATGACTCAGAAAAACAAGCACTTGTACCTTTTTTTGTTCTGGTTTTCATTTTGAAGTCTAATATTCTTCTAACTTAAAAACAATAATGGTATCAATTTTATTATTTCTCATAATTTTTATGTACTCAAGAATAAACTAAAGACACTATAAGAGAGTTAGGTATAAGAGAAGGATATGGAATGTGTGGCTAATTGCTTCCACAAATATTGCCTCCTTTGCTAGAGACCAGAAGAACTGGATTGTACCCAGCTATCATGAAGGCTGCATGAACCCTGAAACTATTGTCCTGTCTGAGATAATGTTTAAACTTTAAACAAAAAATGTCCCTTGAATTCTTCTTAAAAGTAAATAATAATTTAGTTTAACTGGTAAAGAATGTCTGCCTTGACCATCTTTAAGAACTATCTATCTAGAGTGAAACTGACAACAGCACCTCGAAAGATTAGATAGGGAAATTAGGGAGCAGTCAATTTATGATAACGGTAAGGAACAATTTCGTAAAAGAGCGTGAGAATGGCTATACAACTTGAAGAATGTAATGAATGTCACTGAATTGTACATGTAGAAATTGTTGATTTATTATATTTTCTGCTGTGTATATGCACAACAACAACAAAAATAAAACGAACTATTTAAAAAAAAATACCCTAAAGACATGGGAGAGGAGCCTCATTTTAAATGAATGTACTCTAAGTAGAACAAATTCAAGTTACAACATAAGCAGTTTACTTTACACAAAAAACTGTTTGATAAACCGAAATCATTATAGAGGGCAATTACAGATTCTCCTAACCTGAAGACAGATTATCTTTAAATTCTTTTATATATGCAAGAATGGACAGTAGGCCTAACTACCATAAAAATAATTATTAGAGTTGTACATCAGTATTAACTGCAGCACTATTAACAATAGCCAAAAGATAGAAACAACCTAAATGTCCATAAACAGATGAATGAATAAACAAAATGTGGTATATACATACAATGGAATACTAGTCAGCTGTAAAGAGAAATGAAGTCCTAATACATACTGCGACATGGATGAACCCAGAAAACATTACGCCAAGTGAAATGTCAGTCTGTGAAGGACAAATCTATGATCCCACTTAGCCAATACAGGCAAATATATAGAGAACAAAGCTTATCAGTGGCTGCCACGGATGGGACAGAGGGAAAAACAGGGAGGCATTAGGGGGTACTGACTTTCTGCTAATGATGGTAGAACTATTTGGAAAAAGATAGTGGTAATAGTTGTACAACATGATAAATGTAATCACTGTCATTGAAGGACACAGGCAAAAATTGTTAAACTGGCAAACTTTTTGTTATACATGTATTTACCACAACAAAAATACATAAATAAATACTAGATAATATAAAAATAATCTAAAACTCTGGGATTAGTGGGGTCTATTCCTAATCTTTTCTTACTATCCTTCTAAAATAGTTTCATGCAAACATTATTCTGGGAGAAAATTCTATAGGCCAATGTTTTACAATCTCTTGTCAACAAGTATTGAATATTAGTGTAGAGTGAAAATTTGGGCAATGGGGCAGTGCTATCAAGCAAGGAAACTTCTACTAGAATTTGGGAAGTGATAAGTCTAATGTTGCAGAGCACTATCTGAGAATTCAAATGGACCAGCATCCAAGTCCCAACCCAACTATTTACTACTGTGCAACTTGAGCAAATTATTTCACCAATTTTCTCAACTATAAAACATCTCTTAAAATTGTTAAGTCTAAATAAGATAATACATGCAAAGACAATAGTGCAATGTTCAGGACTCACAATACTCAATAAATATTAGTGCCACTGTGGCTGTGCCTAATAATTTCTAAAAATGAAACTCAAGTCTTAAACAGCTAAATACAAACCAATACTTTTTGCAGGCCTGTGAATCCAGACTACCAATTAAATTTAAGTTACTGTTTTAACCAAGACCCAGAGCCTTGAACTTGGTAAGAAGGGAATATATGGTTACCTGGAAAGGCAGGCTTTAGTAACAGCACTGTGAAGATTTTCATTAGGATACAGTGACAGCCGACGAGAAATCCGCAACAGTTGTCGGGTAGAAAGTGATGCTGCCAATGACTGTGCCTATCAAAAGGCAAAGACAGCCTGTTAAGAGTCTTGTTTTAACTTGCCAACAGTCCCTTTAGATGGATATCATAGAAGAATTCATTATCCTGAAGGACAAGGCCAAACTTAAAATAACTATGTACTGTTAATGAATTACAAGCAAAAATACATAGAAACCAATTTACACTTAAAATATCATTAAAGACACATTTAAAAGAGGATCAGTCTAAAGAGTGTTTATCAATTAAATTCAATTAAAATGTTTTCATTATGCTAAGTTCTTTGTGCACAGAGGTGGTGGAAGAGGGTGGTTAGGTGGAGGAAGACAGGATGTTACACAATACAGGTTGCACCTGATGTAAAATGACATAAAATTAACTATTGTTTTTCTTTTGTTGGCTTACACAAAGCCAACCTGTAAAGATACCCAGAAAGTGCTTAGAATTCTAAACAAATATGTGAGTTCTGAGATAGAAAAAAGGAGTGGACAGTTTAGGATGCTGACCATAGAGAGCCCATCAGTACATCACTGGGGGCAGTTTGCTTTTTGGAATCCTTCCTCTATACAGTCTGAATAATTTTGCTTTGTTTTCTTATACTTCTCCAGACCCCACCAATAGAATTGCTACTGTAGAGCCCAGGACATGGTAAATACTAAAATATTTCTTGACTTGAACTTGAAGTTATCTTGGCAAGGCAACATAATATAATGATAAAGTTTATGGCTTTGGAATGAGACAAATCAGATTCCCACTTACTAGCTGTGTGAGCTTGGCAAATTAGTTGACCTGTTCATGCCACAGTTTCTTCATCTCTAGAATGGAGATAATAATGCCCTCCCTTTATAAGGCTGTTAAGAGGATTAAATTAGAAAATGACTCTAAGGCACTTAGCACAGGGCAGACATGCATGGGCTCTCAGTAAATGTCAGTGATTATTATTAAAGCAACCTCTTCAAAATGAAAAATCTAACAGAGGAAGGGGATCAGACCTGTATATCAGCATGAATTCAATGAATCAGATTACTATGGCCTAACTCTTATCTAAGAGCAGCAGCATGAGGAGATGGCAGTTATCACTGACAACCACGGTAGAGAAGCACTTCTGAAGCAACTGGTTGATCCTATGGGAGGGCAGAGTAGTCAGGATGATGCCACAGAGGATATGAGCGCATCCAAGGAGCCCTGGCCACCTGAGGGTCTAGAGAGTTGTTACGGATTGAGTTGTGTCTCCCAAAAATATGTGTTGTGAATCCTAATTATATGTGTTGTGAATATAATTATAACCTGTGGTTATAATCCCATTTGGGAATGGGTTGTTTTTATTATGTTAATAAGGCAAGATGAGATTGGGTATGTTTTGAGTCAATCTCCTACAAGATATAAAAGGAATAGATTAAGCAAGCAAAGATGGGGGAAGAAAGATACCACAAGAAGATCATCAAGGAATGAAAGTGCAGTAGCTCAAAAGAGACAAAGACCTTACTCCAGAGCCAAAAGAGACAGAAAGCCTTCCCTTGGAGCTGGTATCTTGAATTCAGACTTATACCTTCCCAAATTGTGAGAAAATAAATATCTGTTTGTCAAAGTCACCCATATGTGAGATTTCTGTTATACTAGCACTGGATAACTAAGACACAATTTGGTAGCAAGAAGAGAGGGTACTGCTCTAACAAATACCTAAAATGTGAAAGTGGTTTCAGAATTGAGTAATAGGTAGAGGACGGGAGAGTTTTAAGGTATCTAATAGTAAAAGCCTAGATTGCCTTGAAGAGACTGTTGATAGATTTATGGAAGGCAATTATGTGAAGGGTTCAGAAAAAAATGAGGAGAGCCACAGATAAAGTATCTATCATCTAAGAAAATACACATGGTGCCAACAGAATATTGCTAAATGTGTGGACATTAAATGTGCTTCTGGGAGGCTTTAAAAGGAAATGATGAACATATGATTGGACAATGGAGAAAAGATGATGCTTGCATGCAGTGGCAAAGAACCTGTTTGAGTTCTATTCAAATGTATGGTAGAAGGTAGAACTTGTAAGTGATGAACTTGGATAGCTGGCTGAGAAGATTTCTAAGCAAGATCTTAAAGGGGCTGCATGGTTTCACCTTGCTGTATATGGTAAAATGTGAGAGGAAAGAGAATTAAAAATGAACTGGGCAAAATGAAAACAAAAATTAAAGTTGTATAACATTCTAATACACAAACTAAGGACATGTATTCTAGAATTTTGATGATGGATGTGGCTATAAAGTATTTTGTTAAAGTAATTAAGCCAGTGACTGATGGATCTAATTACCACAGTAGAAAAGCCATCAGCTTAGACTGAAGGGGATAGAGATAGGACAAAAGAAAGGAAAGCTGTCCACCTCTTGAAATTGTACAGGAAGGAAACAGGCCAAAGGCTCTATATTTATTTCCTCCAAGAAAAGAAAAGTACCATCCTTATAGCAGCTCAGAGCAGCACAACTACTGAAAGGAGCACAAGCAGCAGAACTGCTTTGGTTTCAAAGGGTGGAACCATGTCTTCCTAGGTTTCAAAGAATCAGATCTCCACCAATTTGGTTCTGGATTGTGAGACTGGCATGCCCAAAGGCCAAGAGGATAAGGCTGCAGGCCAAAGCTGCAGGTGTGTGGCTGCCATGCCCAAGGACCAGGAGAATGGAGACTGCCAGGGCTAAGTGGGTGGCATGGCTGCTCAGATGGACTAGGAAAATTGGGCTACCCACAGCCCAAGGAGCAGAATTGCCATGCCACTAGGCCTGGAAGGTAGGACTGAAGCCCAAGACCAAGAGGCCTCCACCCAGAATCCAGAGGATGTAGACAATGCCCAGAGTCTAGAGTGTGGGGCCATTGGCTAGATGGTCTCAGAGAACAGAGGATTATTTTCAAATGTTGAGAGCTAATGTAATGTGTTCTTCTGGGTTTTGGACTTGCTTGGTGTCCATTATCCTTTCTCGCCCTACAATTTCTCCCATTTGTAATAGAAATAGCTACCTGTACCTGTTCCACCAATGTACTTTGGAAGCAGGTAACTTGGATAGTAGATTTCACAAGTTCACAGATGAAGAAGAATTTTGTGCTAGGATGGAATACACCTCAAATCCTACCCATATTTGATTTAGATTATTTGGAAGATGAGATTTTGGACTTGGAATTGATTTAAGACTTTTGGGATGATGTGATAGGGTGAACATGTTTTGCACATGGGAAGGACATGAATTTTTTTGAGGGGGGAGGGGGCAAAGGATGGTATGCTATGGATTAAACTATATCCCCAAACATATGTGTTACAAACTCTAACTTCTATGCCTATGGTTATAATCCCATTTGGGAATGGGTTGTCTTTTTTATGTTAATGAGGCAAGATGAGTATTGGTATGATCTGATTCAATCTCCCACAAAATATAAAAGAAGCAGATTAAGCAGGCAGAGATGGAGGAAGAGAGATGCCAAATCAAAAGAGGATCAACAAGGAACTGAGCAACAGAAACTCAAGAGACTTTTCCAGCCTCCTAAATTGTGAGAAAATAAATTTTTGTTTGTTAAAGCCACCCTCTTGTGGTATTTTAGTTATACCAGAACTAGATCATAAGACAAGAAAGAACTCCATAAAATTAACAAGAAGTTCAGAATAGATGACAGGAAGATGCCAGACATACTGCAAATTTGTTTCTTTCAGTGTTTTGACTAAAATCCTCTATGTAACAAAAAAGAAAAAAAAAAAAAACCATTGACTTTTCCCTCCTCCTGTACTTTACAGCTCCATGAGAACTTGATCTGCTGTCATCAGCATTATATTCCACCTAAACTTATGTTAAACAGTCCTGTTGGGACAAGATTGGGAGCATGGCCACTACTTATGATTTACTTTCTTTTCTATCAAAAAACACATTCCAAGTTCGAAGAACTCATTTAAAAGCAAACATTTGGTCCATCCTTGTTTTCAACAAATTTGCATTCTAGACATGGAGAGAATATTTAAATATAAGAAAGAGTAGAATTACAATTCAAAATAGCATCTAACATAATGCCAAAACAAATAGAGCACTGATGATTGCTACCAGAGCTTAAAATGTGCAAGTGGGCAGGGTAAATGCTTTGAACAAAGGCATGGAAACAAAAGGAACAGAAATACCTGTAGAACATGAGGAAACCTGCCCAGCTTAACTAAAGTCCTGATGGAAGGCTTGCTTCCAAATAAAAAAGATCTGTGAATAACATTTGGAGCATTTTGGCCTTTCTCTTATGGCAATAGGACTTGTTGTTGTTGATAATTTATTTTGTTGTTGAGAACATACAAAGAAAATGTGTTAAACCTCAGAAAAACCGAATCTACTGCCATCGAGTTGATTCCAACTCATAGTGATCCCCATTGGGCTTCCAGCCTACTGAAACTGGAGGCTTCATTTAACTCAGACAGTGGCTGGCTGCTGAGGCTGACAAACCCAAGTTCAACAAATAAAATGGCAGAATCCCAAAATTATCAAACAACATGGCAGGTCACTGGCTCAAGTCTAGGAACAAGCCTAAGCTCAGTAGATAACATTGCAGGCCATTGAGATGAAGACTCAGCTACATGCAGGGGCCAAGTGTGCCAAAAGGCTCCAGAGACCTTTCTCAAAGGTTTTTCTTATATGTTGGAAGCAGATCACATCCTTAAGGCAGCTACTCAGCTGTTCCAGTAGATTCCACCATGGAGTTGATTACCAGTCTCATTATGGGGAATAACTACCTTCAGATGCCCAGCCACTCAAAACCAGGCCCAGCCAAGTTGACACACAACTTAACTACCACACTAGTTAAGCTAAACTACTGTTTGGTTTAAGAATAATTCAGGGGACATTTTTGTTTTAAGATTTAAAGATTATCTCAGGTCAATAGTTTCAGGGGTTCATCTAGCCTCCATGGCTCCTGAAAATCTGAATATATGAGAATTTGAAATTTTCTCCTCTGTTTTCCCGTTTTAGTCAAGGCTCTTCCATAGAACGTTTGATCAAAATATTCAGAATAGT